CCAGTTACCTGGAAATTTACGATGGTAAGATACATATTTCATGTTTACCTGTTCCTTTCAAACGGATTTTGCCATAAAGAGTTTACAATTCGTCCCCAGCAATATTATCCTATTCATACCTGCCGACCTAAAGGATCACTGGTTTGTCTGATACCTATTCCATTATCTACAGCCCGCCTTTGTATAATTGACAAGGAGGCACTCAATACGGTGTTACTCAAGAAAACAAATATGGAGACTGTTACAGATGTTTTAGTTCTGACTGAATATGTACGTTTATGTGCGTTAACTTTGTTTAAGTTAGTAACTTCGAGACAGGGATATGCAGTTGATAAAAGATATTCCATACACTGAAGACATGTAACATAAAACACGTCAGTTTCACCAAGATAATGGACAAAATGAATCTAATGTGTACATCAGCTATAATTCAGATCAACACGATGTTTACACGAAAGACGTTAAACGTCAATGTTAACTCGTTATCAGTCATATTTTTTTCTATGCTACTCAAAGGTACTCTCTCTGAGATTTTTGAAAACGCCACTAATGAGTTATTTTTCACCTGTAACTGTAAACCTCTTCCTACCTCTGTTCACCTGTTTTTAGGTAATTACGACAACAGTACTTCAACAACCCACGGAAAGTCGTGTGGTTACTCCAAGCCCAGCTTCATCAGCTCCGGAAATGTCATCACCGCCAGGTTCCACGTCAACGTATCTAACAGAGGAAATTTAAGAATGATTCTTAAGGCGGGTCACTTTAGTGGTACGTCAAATTTCAATGCCATGAGCTAGTGAAGTTAGGTTTGGCACTATTTTGAACAGTATTTTAAGTCAGATTTTGGGAGATGGCGAAACAGAAGAGATTACATCTTCAGAAATTCAAGGAGCTTAAGATGATGATGATAACAAACCAGGAATATAGTAATCAGGGCAATTTGGGACTCGAATTCAAGAGGGGCAAATCCTGACAGTTAAAGAACGCATCTCTGTATAATGAATTGCTTAGTATACAAGTATACAACTGGATACTGATTACAGATAACATACAAAATTAATGTACGTTTATGTTTCAGCTTCACAGAAGACGAGTCTTACAGCTAGAACATATCAACAATACTTTGATTCCCCAAATTATCCATTCAATTACCCGAGGTATGTATTCCAGTATAGTACGCCACTGAATGAACTCAAAAAGACTACAATTGTAAATCTCCAATATTCTATACTAATCGCAATGGCAAGTAATAACATCATAATTACATGATTCCTTCTTGAAGAGCAAAATTACGTGTGTGGTTTCATCAGATGAACGAGAAAACGAATAATAGTTATCTTAAAATTAATGTTCATTGGTTACTTCCATCGAATTCATAAAATGACATCCAGAATTTCTACTTTTGTGAAGTCTTATAATCCATGAAAAGTCTGTTTCTGAACATTTTTTATTTGGTGAGGAATGCGTTGACCTAACTTGCCTTACTTCATTCAAGTAATGTCGAGTCAACATGGACGATTGAGGGAGATGAAGGTTATTACGTTAGTATCGGAGTTGTCTTCTCAAGTCTGGAGACGTCTGCAGGTTGTCAAAGTGACTACATGGAAGCGTTTGATGGTATGATAGATATTCACATCTGTTTGAGTACCTATTTACTGTCACGAGTCCCCAAATGTTATACGTGCAGTGATGATGATATAATAACTCATTCGTGTAGGTATTTGGAAAGCAAGATTCATGTACAGTTGCAACCTGTCTATTTAATTCAGTTGTGGATACTTTTTCAGGGATTTACAGGACGCGAATTCCTGCGTCCTATACGCATAAAAATTGACAATGGACGCAACGAAATTTAGTAGCGCATCCACAGTGACGCAGAAAAAGTCCAAATACTTTTGTAAAAATTCCAATCACGTAACAATAAGTTATCACTGAGTTTACTACTAGCTGACTTATGGTATCATATGCAATTTCATTATTGTAACAATTATTGTGATGATCATGCTACACAATACAATAACAATAGTAGTAATAATATTTAAGTGTATAGGACAACATTTTGTTGTCCATGACCACTGAAAATTATAAGCATGAGTCCCAGGGACCCTCAAATACAGTACTCAAGGTAAATCCCTGCTTTTGATGACACGGATGACCGGGTTCGGTCAGGCGAACCTTGTCCACTTTATCCACATCAAAGGTTAAAGTAATGTTTTTTTTCTGGGTGTACAGTCTTTCATTTCTCTGGAATGACCAAACTGCCTTATTATCTAAGGCTCGTTTTTATCACTCGTGTCATCATCCTCATAGTCTTGAACAGGTCGATAGCCTGTGGCTGTGTCTGTTGTGAATAATTATTGCATCTTGTAGTAGTTTTGGGGTGATTCGAATCCTCTAGAGCAGTGCAACTGACCAAAACGTTATTGGGTGATTGTATTTCGAATCCTGTAGGCGCAGACTCCAGTGCCCCCTCTCTAGGACGCTGGTATGGGAGCAGTGAACCACGCATAATGGCTTCAAGCTCTGTGTTGTTCCTGAAATTCAAGTCGAATTCCCATACAGTCGACAGAGGTTTCAGTATCTTATATATAATGTACAGGGATCCTACTGGTAAGTGTCCAGTTACTTGTACACACAGGTAACCAAACTCATAAATATAAACCAGTTGCGACGTACATCTAGCTGAAGGTGTTATTTAAGAATTTGATATGACTGTTTTCAACTGGAGAAACTATGCGCTTTTAACTTTGTAACTAGTTACCCGTTAGTGTGGAAACTCTAAATATGATGAATGTTTGCCTTGTACGTGTAAATACCTATTTCCAGAATTACCATATATCACAGGCACCGGAAGACAGGAGGGGATTATTATTGGAGGTTCCGTAGGTGGTGTTTGCCTGCTACTTATCATAGTAGGCGCAATATGCGGAATTGTTTGGAGAATCAAAAGACAGCCGGACGCCAGCAACATGATGTGGAGTATTCTCAGAGGAAAGTCCAGAAAAATTTAATTTGGAAGCAAAGTCAAGCATCTGAGAGGGATTTTGTATATAAAATGTCGGGATAAAGAAAGAATCGATGTATGCCTGTTGGTGGCTAAAAAATACAAACATTGTTCAGCAATACAGGTACAGGTACAATAATGTAGGTGTTCTATGTGCAGTTTCGATAACAGGTATCTCACAACGATGACAGATGACGTCCTAGAAGACACCCCAATTTCCAAGCACACAATAATGAACTGAGTTTTGTAAGCATTGTCATAGGTTGAGTTGGCTCACATCTGACATCCTCAGTAGCGAATATACCCACCACTAGCACCAATGGACGCCCTGACTCCCAAATGTCGCTTCAAATTATGTTATGCGAGACTAGACTAGACTGTCCTCCTTCGGTAATGTTCATTGGGGTTGTCAGAAATGCCTATGCTATGATAAACCTGCTGCGGAAAAAGACAGTGTGCAAGTACCTGTCATCCCCAATACGTATTACGACTTTCGTTTTAAGCCAAATAGCGTTTTGCTAATGTTTCTAATATTTTAGTCACATTACATTTACATGTCTATACTTTCTCTTACCCGGCACTTTATCCAATCTTTTTGAAAATTTGCTCTTGTAGCAATTTGTCAGTGTTTAGTCAGGTCTGAAATTATCCTAGGAATAAATTGATTGAAGCTTAAATGTTCCACTAGTAGATGGAACGATACGTAGAATGAATTTAACTTGAATCATGCCTTTCATTTTGGAAAGAAAGGTGAGAATCTATACGGTCGTATACGTTATTAATATTTGACAAAGACTATGGCAATGATGTCTTCAAAAGACAGTGTACCTACAAATCTGAATAGTTAAAGTGTGCATAAACAACAGAGCTGTTGTATATTGTCATCAAATTAAGTAAAGCACAGCCTTGGGTATTAATGTTTCTGGAAGTATTAAAGATCAATGTACACATTAACGTTCACATGTTTCAGTGTTTTGTGTGAGCATGTTCTTACATAGAAACTCAAATTATTTGGGTTTTTCTTATTGTCCATGATGTTGTTACTCTCATGACGACGATCTTTAAATATGCCCCCAGTCAGCTACAGGGGTTGGTTGATATTAGGAACAATATCAAACGTGGAGACGTGATAAGCCAAATTGAATGCATTGCAAGTCTTAGTACGACAGTTTAAGGTTAAAAAAGATTCGTTCGGGAGGAATCCGAGTTATAACGTTTAGTCGTGCATATTTAAGTGCATTCACGTTTTCTCTGCGCGTGTAACATGTTTATAGCTGCACCATGCTGATGGCCTTTCTATAATGTCTGAAATAACTCCATTTTAGCTGTAGATTGGATTCATCGGAATTCACATTTAAACTTCCAGGGTCCAGTCAAAAGTAACATCTTTTTCATACCAAAAGAAATTTAAACAGCAATCAGGCATGACCTATGTATGTAGTGTCAGAGAATAATGTTACATAAGCAAAGTGGGGTGTATGTAACAGTGCCATGTCGGTCTGGAAGACAATTCAGTCAAATTGTGAACATATTGCCCAAGCAAGGATAGCCACCCCTAACACATTCTTGCCTCTTGATATACTATAATCAATATGATCGTCACGATATGGCTGAGATATTGCCGATGTGACGTTAAATATTAACTCACTCACTCACTAATCAATGTGACCTTTTGTTTGTCCGACAAACTTTTCAATCTTGCAAGCCTGCCTCACTTACACATACAACATAATTACGAAGGTACTTGAGTTTACATGAGATATAAACGAATTTGTTGTGACACAGTCCGTATGCATGTTTGGTGTAAAGGGAAAATACGTGTTATGAATTATATTAATGGATCACTGAAAATCAGAGATGACACCGGGTGTTCGCGACATATCTGAAAATGACAATTTAGTGATGGCACTGTCATTTCTTACGTGTTTTACTCATCCCGCCATTGGTGCAACCAGAACAGCGATGATCACTCTCACTTATAATGAAACAAAAGACAGCAATATAATCATTTTTATTTCACATGGAATTAAATAACACAAAATGCAGTAACGGTTTATTCTGTTGATGAACAGTAGGTAGAAGGAACCATATTAACATACTGCTCTGATTGCCTAGCATATGAACACAACACCAAAAGCGAGTTTCTCAAAGGTTTGTTGATTGTGTTAACTCTAATGTTACAATGAATTTGAAAGGGATTACCTATTAGCGCAATCATTAAGCTTGGTCCGTATTTAGTGCCTTTAACATGTAGATGTCATTGTTCATTGATTCGCAGATATATGTGAACAATCATTCAAAGCCTTACAAGTGCAAATAGTTAGAAGAAAATTACAAAATGGACACAGTTCTATGTTGATCTACAGATCGGAATAAAGCAACATTATTTTACGTACACAGTGCTTCTATAAGCATGTTCATATCTTGTTTAACAGTCGTTTATGATTGTCCTCAGTGGAGGGCGTGTCCATGGTGTCACCTGGAGCTTGGTTGCTCACAGAGCGTCCGTTATTTTTACCCTCATTGACACCGGTTCGTTTCGAGGCACATTTGCAGATTGCAGGCGGAAGACCACATAGTAGGGCTACTCCCGCAATAGTACCCATAACTATCAAAGCAACTTTCGAGAAGCCGGTATCTGTATCTGTAGTGATATGCAAAGGCACATGCGTTAACATTGGTGTTAAGATGAATGCCATGGCTATGTTTTGTTACTTCATACACTACTTTGACACGGTAAACCATACATAAATGGAAATAATTGAATAATTGTAACTGTAGTAAATAATAGTAACTGTAGTAAACCTGTAAGACAGGATACCGATTGGTTCATAGAACCAAAGTTACAAGTGAATTGTATCACAAAATATTCATATCACATGTTCTAAAATTAAACAAACTTATCAAGCATACCAATTGAAAAAACAAGATCGAAAATGACAGTATCACCCAAGCCCGATTTTTGTTATTCTAACGATGAACATACATATACTGGACAAAATGAGTTAGGGATATTGGTATTTTTATGATTTATATTTTATCAGAGTGTCAATGAATACATAGATCATTATTCATAATTTCAAAATTTACATATATCCCTGACAATTTTTGTCCAGCATATATCTGAACAATTCTGGTTTTTACGCTGCTTTGACATAGTTACACATACTAAAGGAAACACAACGTATTCAAAGCTTACCGATCTCTTTGTAATGTGCCATGTACAAGATGCGGAATCCACTGTTGACTGTATGTGAATTCGTTTTGAATATCAGGAACATGAAAGAGCCCGAACTAGTTTTGTTTGGTTGAGACCCTCCACACCAGCGTCCAAGGGAGGCTGCACTGGAGTCAGAGCCTGCAGAAACAGAAACACCGACACCGGTTTGGTCAAATGCACAATATTGTTGTAAATGTACAATATCCATTATATATATAAAGTCAATTAATACATATACACAAACACAACGAAATAAACAACTTGGGATAGACGGACAATCGTGTCCAGCAAGGAAGCAAGACAATTCAGAAGTTTATAATTACTTCGTGCTATCAAACTTATATGTTGGAGTCAACTTTCTGCTGCATTTCAGGATAATGCAGAATCAGCGGCACACTATTGTTTTCGCAGATATGACGCCAAAGAATCCAAATATCCACCAGACTCTACAGATAGGTAACAATGTTTGTGAGAAGGATTAGGAACTGTTTCGTGTATCCTCCAAGGGACCAAGAAAAGTACCCGTTGTTGAGGATTCCAGGGCATTCTTTCTCAACTAAAACCTGGTTACAAAACAATCTGGGTATAGACGATCTTGTCAACTGAAGTCTTAAACTAGACCGGGCTCTTCACAAGAAGGATATTATCAAAAGTGTATATGGAAACAGTTCATGGGGAAATAATCATATCACTCTCCACTGATACGACCACTACTACTGCTACTGGTGCTGTTACCGCTACTGTCGCTGCTACTACTACTCCTGCTCTTACTACTAACAACTACTACTACTACAGCTGCGACTACCACCACCACAATAACTACTACTACTACTACTACTACAGCTGCGACTACCACCACCACAATAACCACTACTACTACTACTACAGCTGCGGCTACCACCACCACAATAACTACTACTACTACTGCTACTACTACGGCTACAGCTGCGACTACCACCACCACAATAACTTCTACTAAACGCTACTACTGTTACTAAACAATACTACTACTACATACTATGATCTGTTAAGGCATCTCCTTAAAATTCTCCCTTAAACCTCACGAAAAAAATATCAAATATTTATCGGTACAAATTCATTCGAAACGTTACGATTCGGATATGCGTGATACAGTTTCACTAAGGTCATAATGCCGTCATTGGACAGGTTGTATCAATACATTTTACATTCTTGGGGCACTAAGTTGCAGTCAAACTGAACAGCGTTTATTCACACACCTGAGATCAAACATTTCTAACATAATTATGGTATTAAAAAAGCAGAGATATGGTAATAAGTATGTAAACAAGCATATTTTCAATCATACCATCAAAGGCTTCAACGTAGTCAGTTAAACACCCAACAGAATTCTCCAACCGTGAGTCGATAACTGCAATCTTCACCTGATCGTAGTCATCCGTCTGGATTTTCCACGTGGATTCGACGTTACTGGAAAAGTGATAGATTTCTTCATACACAAAGTTGCGAAAGAAGGTACCAAAAGTCCACAGTAAGGTATTATTATGGGAAATGATTAAACAAGCATCTGGGGATCAAAGATTTTTTATTTTTTTTCGCAAAATGTGTGCCGAACGACATTTTATTCCCAATTGAATAATACTTTCAAGACTGTTTGGCTCATTACCAAATTACACAGGTCAGGGCTGAATTAATCACTTCATATCACATTCCATGATGTAGGAAAGCAACACCTTTACATTTACTTGTTGTTTTTTCATTAGCACCATGCAATATACAATGTACCATCAACAAAACATAATGAAGATAAGTCCTGCAGATGCATCATAGGACGTATAGGAATATAGAATGCTGGAGTGATGTGAAATGCACCATTTGCTCATTAGCATCACAATTTCATCATCTGATGATAATTTAGAGCTCCTCTAAAGGTATCGGCTAAGATGACTTACTATCCAAGGATAAACATACCTCGGGTAATTAAAGGGATAATTTGTAGATACAAAGTATTTGTCATGATAGTCAGCTGAAAGACGCATCTCTTGTGAGGCTGAAAAAAAGGAACAATCAGCATATGTGACTTCACTTCAGTATCTGGGTAGTTACAGTATTCCAAATGCACAAAACTCATCAAACGCATTGTGTCTCCTTAAAACATATAGATTATAGGTAATCAAGGTATATATACATGTAGAGAACAATTACAACACACGAAACAAACAGAACACATCTATATGTTATAGCCAATTGTCATCAACTGATTCTGGAGGCAAGGGGTTCAACTGTCTTCCGGTTACCCAATTTACGTTACAGAAATCGGTTCTTAAGCTTCCAGGATCCGTTGACGAGGGTGCCGTTGTTCATAACCATTTTAGTGCTAAGGTGACCGTCACTCCCATACCCTACCACAGACGTAAGGTAGTCTTAGCGATAATTTGCATGTTGCCATCAAACACCGGTATTCATCCATTGTAAACCTATTGTCTGCTTTACTCGCATTACAATCTGACGTTTCTTGATGACGGAAAACTTGGATAAAATGTGTATGGCATGGATGTGTCAATATTCAATGCGCTGTGTTTGTTGTGACGCAGGCCGATAACATCCGGTCGCGACTCGAAATCCAAATTTCACCCTGATTAAGTGTGCAGGTCAACGTCTTGGATCTGCCGTACTTCTGACTACTAAGTTGTGTATCTGAAATTCAAAATTCATCCACTTTCATTGCAGACTCATTCAAGTTTCATACTGTTGAAGTGTCCCGCCTTGAAATCCATTTGTAAACCCCTTGTTGTGTCAGATGCCCCCGTGATGAATCTGGCCGTGACAACAGTTCCGGAACTGATGTAGTAAGCATAGGATTTTCCCCACCACCTCCCGGGGGTTGTTGATCCAGTGCTGGTACCTGAGTAAATGAATACAAATACCAATATTGTATCACGTGTTCAAATTTCCTACCGATAATGCTTGTGGCATTGGGATTTATGAAAGTTAATGTAACATGTCAAAAGACAATATTTGTCTTTGTTTAGAAAAGGAGTATTTGTAGAATCAAACAAGTGTACGAATGGGGCTGACATTAACATGTTTGGATACCCAAAGAGACACCTGTTCTGTTTGTTGTGTACTTTCGTGCATGGTCCACGGTCCTATATATCAAAGGTGTCTGTTGATTCTAATAGTGTCAGGCAACAGTCATTCACCTACTACGACTGTCAACAGACAGATACAAGAAGTACATACACACCAAAGGTGTGCATGCAGGTAGTACATTCTAACTAATGGGATAGATACATGACGTATATTACAACACATGAGTAAATACAAGATGGACATAATTCTATTACTGTTAATCTGTCATTACTCATAATATGTTTTGGTCGAATATTTTGTTGTTGTGGGTCACCGAGAACAGCTTTATTACAGGCATCATTTAAAAGCGTGGTTAAAAGATTGCATTGATACTCTTTTGGATTGCATTGTTTCTATTTTATCAACCCCTTTACAACCCAACGTTTCGGCAAGATAGGTCCATATTGAGACAATTTAACCAATCTGTCATCGGTGAAGCTTTACATCGTTGTGGTTGTTGGAGGCCACGACCATATAGAGCCACCTGTTCATGATTGGGAATACTATCTATTACGTTTGTACTGTTTCTTCGTTTCGAATCCAGGTAGAATGGCTCCAGTCATTTTCTGACGTTCTCTATGTTACCATTTCTGGCATTACTGCTACCCCGTCGCTATTCCTCTGGTAGGTTTGCACACAGTAATCATGGTAGGAAACATGTAACCGTGAGCTGTAATCATAGTTCAGTAAAAACATAGGCAGATAATTGACCCAGGACTTCATCTGAAGTGGTCGTGTACACTTGCATCACTGTGACACATCAGGTATGAACATGACTTGCACGTCATACTGCCCGGCAATCTATGCAATCCCACATATCTTCTGTTAAACATTGTCAATGCATCGTGAGTTTTAGCAATTCATGGTTGTTTTAGTGTTTTTGTACCATTATTGAGCGACATCAGTGATATAGTTGATGATAGAGTGAATAAAATGTGTCAGAAACCAGAATTTCTTCATCCCACACCAACACGCAGAGACGCCGCTGACAGAAATTATGTCTAAAACGGTTTCTTACAATTTCACCAAGTGCATTCCATTCATTGTGAGTATATCGTTTGTACATAATATGTCATTAATGAAATCCGCCAAGTTGTCCGAAAGCTTACGGTTAGTCAAGACAAAATACATCTACGTAGACTTGTGCGATGTCAATGATCAAGCAGAACCTTACATAACCGAATCAGTAAATGTCCACCTACATGACCACTGTCTGTAAACAATTGAGTCAGAATCAGATGACTAAAGTACTGTCGGAAACAGAAAAAAAATGTATTCTCTCATTTATCTCTACAATGTATGTAGTTGATATGTGAAAGTGTGAGATATCTGTTAAACTAAGTTCGACCTAACTACAGTCTCAGTGGTAGAGAGACAGGAAACGGAGAAAAAGGACTTTACTTAGGGGAAATTAGTGCAGAAATGAGCGATGCAGTTTATTACTAAGTTCAAAAAGACAGACCATGGCTTTATGCAAATTAGTGTGCTACGATATTGTATTACAAAGGAGATTTTTTAAATGCCCAATTTGAAATTAGACGTAGGTTAATTATAAACGGTAGCTGACGTAAAAAATAATAACTTTTATGCCGAAACTATTAAGGATGTAGCTACCATGCAGTCTCACTGTCACTATAAAAAACAAACAGATAGGACGGGTCGCCTCAAAGCAAAACCTGGGGTCGGCTTGGGGATAGAGATATCAGCTAAGTTAAGATAATCCTTTAGGGCAATTATACTGGGGAGGTACACGGCACTTCATAACAATTTACAAATAATATCCAGTCCTGTCGATCTTCGGGTGGTCATGCCACCTATATACTACGATGCGTTTCTATAGTTTTCGAGTATCATATTCTTTTAAATATCTCAACATAAACTTTATGAAAGAAAGACACATAAGATGGTAATCAATAGATGAGATATAGTCAACACACATGAAAAAACACAAAATGTCTTTGAGAAGACCCCTTGTAGGCAGCACGTGCATTTCATGCCAGGTGAGTCGACGGTCCCTCGTCATACCTGGCTGAGCGACCTAATTGCCATCTATAGTCTGATCTATTGTTTTCAGCAGCTATTCGTATTTTTTCTAAGTTTTGCCCGATTTTACGAGTAAACATGCTTTTCTGGATATCGTATTACGCATCCCACTGAACGCCCAGTTAGGCCGAAGTGGGTTCTTTCGACATATGCTATTTGCAATTTTTGTAAATTTTAGGGATACAGAGCCATAACCTAAAAACAGTTTGTTTCTATTTCCGACAGTACTATAATATATAGTATGAGTTAAATTACCCACCGTCAAGATTCGATGGCTCACCCAGAGAACCAGGCAGCCAGACACAATACAAGATTCTGTTTGTGTTTCACTTCAATAAAGCCTCTTAATCTGTCACCCTCAACCAAGAAGATGTTCATTAGTAAGCCTCAAACTAAAAGGGTGTACAATCTTTTCACTGATTGCATACATGCATAATTCATTACTACAAAACATCTTACCATCATAAAGTTCCAGGTAATCAGAGGTTGTTGACGTATTTGTTGGCTCTGTTTCTTGCTTTAATTTTCTCACTTTAATACGGATATTCATATTATCGGGGGCACGTACAGTCCAGTGGCAATCTTGTGAACTGGAACTACAGAAATTAAACATTATCTTCCCATCTTTACCAAGACCGAGTACCTGGCCCACGCTTTTATACTGAGATCAAACTTTATTCTTGACACCTTTTCAACGTGATTAATTGCATGTATTTTCCGATAGTTTAAAGCTGACTTTCTGAAATTAGTTCCGATATACAAAAAAAAATTCAATTATTTTTATGGCTACACTGACTTGGTGACCAGAGACAACCTGAACATGCTGCTGTAACCCACCCTGTGTCAATAACGAAGTTTAAGTATGTACCAAGGTAAGAAACAATGAATGAGCAACTATCGAAATGATGGAGGGTATCATAAATCATTCACCGCTTATGTCATTTGGTTTTAGAGGAATCTTGAACTTATGACGTCTTTTTCCACCGTATAGATGAAGATACGGATATACGCAAATGAGACTTCTTCTATGAAGCTCAGTCGAACCTGTCAAGAAACTTTCCGGAGAATGTGAAAACTCCATAACATTCCAAACTGAGAGGTACCAAAGCCAATTATCATTGTCCACGATGCGCTTTACATATTCTGCTTTGTACCATGTATGGACCTTACAACTATAAGCATACCGGAGACGGTAATAAAAGGAACAACCCACACTATCTCGAGGCGTACTAAGATTTTGTCAACGTTTCAAATCTACTGAAAATGTATTAGACACTCGCATTACATTCAGTGCATTTTGATATCATTTCCATAACGCATTGACTGTTTATAGTGGCCATTAGTTCAGAAACCCTTCCCTTTAAAAGTTGAGCCTATGCCGATTTAATATGGCACTTCACTTGGTGGACAGTCCTTTCTCCAACGTTTTGCAAAACAGAGCCATTACCGCTCAAAATCCTATATGCTTGACGCCTTAACAGAAACCATGGAATGCATTGTTTCCATGATTCATAAGAAAATAACCTGGCCAATACTCTTAATTAATTTTCAGTTTTCATCCAGTCTACAAAACCAACTCACTAAGACAGGACAGGCACATCACAAATATTTCTGGCTTCGACTTCATAGCGAGCATTTACCTCTAAACAATTACCTCTCCAGGAACTGAGTCTGAATTCTATATTCAGGCCTAGGTAGGTAATTCATGTCGGCCATCTGGAGTTTGCCTTTCAACCCGTCGGACATCAAAACGTCAATCTCAACATGGAGAATCTGGGGTTTAGTCTCAGTGTGACTTTCCTCTGGCAACTCGTTCAATAGCATGTATAGGAGATAATTAGGAGGTGTTGGGGATCTGGAGAACTCAAAATAATTTAGCACAACAATGGAGGTTTGATGGTTTGTCTCTGCGTTGTATAACCCATCAGTATATCAGCTTCTGGGGTGAGCCCTAAACAGCTGATGTACGTGTAGTTCAAGGAATATTATAGAAACATCCATGGCCCACAGGGTGCCCAAGAGAGCCGTACATCACCAGGCCCGCAGGAATATCTGATTTCTATTACAATTATTATTTCCTTACTTTTCATACGGCCCTGTCAGAGTTGTTACTTTATCCGTCGTAAGATTGACTGTCCCTCCACATATTGATGTCTCTGAAAGGAATTCACAATAAAACTTTCATTACTAACATACAAACTCCAGTGAACTTAGAAGTGTACTTTATCGTGTCGATACTCATGTCACGAATATATTTAGTATTCACTCTTCCTTGCAGTTCTAAATACAAAACATTTTCCTCTGTAGAATATACAGCTAGAAATATACTAACCATTAGTTGCATAATATTTTAACGTGAAGCCTTTCCTGCCGTTTGAGTAGCGTGTAATGGATTGAAGGGTCATAGCTGATCCAGTGCTCTGGAGTGTTGGTCTTGAATTGCCACACCAGAATAAAATCGTATCATTTGAGGGCGATGGTCCTGGTAAAATCAGGACAGAGACGTACAAATAAGCTGGAAAAACCATGAATGACAACTTGGAAAAAATGTGGAAAAAAAAACACATCTGAATTACAGTAAACTAAAGTTATAAAGAACTCGAAGAAACACGAATATTTTGAAATGAGAGTATGTTACGTCTGAGAAGCTTAATGGTCACATGCAACGTAAAACACAACTTTGCAGATTCTGATACCTTTCGGTATGGACTTACCGAAACAAAGCGTCAAAAATGCAAATTCAACTTATAAAGTTGAAAAATAACGCGATGAAAAAAAACGCGCGAAATCGGAGTTCAAACGTTTCATTAATTTTCCCCAGACTTTTCTGGGGAATACGGGTTTCAACAGCTGGGCTGCGCTCATAGCACGTGCGCAGTGAAATAGGTTCGCGCAACTTTGAAGCGGGCTGTCTGGTGAATACTCGGTGAAGGCATTGGTGTGAGCTATTTTCATAATGTTTTGTTGATATCTCACAGGCGCGAGCTTTTTATATGTTATGACGGTAAATAAACTGTTTATATAATTTCATTTGTCTATTTCACCACACGTTCTTCTTACCGAGTCACTTTCTCAGTTCGATACTTAAAAGCAATGTCATTATTTAGCGTTGACACAATTTCTAACTGTGATATAGATATGTCGTTGTCACAGACAAAACTCAGTGTCTTGTTTTATTGACACCTGTGTGTCTGCCTGCCTGTCTGCTAATGACAATATTCAATACACAACTGCGATCACTGACCATATGCAATTTGAACTTAACACCAATCAGGCTATACACCATAAACAAAACGCATTGATTTATGGCCCGAGTTCGGTCTCTGTCACATTATGTAATTACACAGACAGGCAGGTGTGATACTTGAACACATGACATGTTATGATGTCTGTTGATTGCAAAATGTTATACACAAAAATGAGCATGTATTTACAAAACCCAACATCTCTATATATACACATACAATGAACCGGCGGCATCTGCTAATGAACCAGCCGTTACACTTGAGTGCACACCCACCCGCTCTGACCGGGTTCGGTATCCCGGCTGCTTCGTTTCGAGGGAGGCAAACCTACGTACAAAATATTGCACTTTTGATTTGCGATTATACGCTTATAATTTTGTTTATTTGTTTTTTCATAATCAGCAATGCATATTATATGTCATGAAGAAGTGATAATTGTGTTTTAATTATGTTTGATTTTTTGGTTGCATGTGACCTTTAAACTTCATGGAGTATATATGCACAGGTAGAATGAGTGAATGAGTGAGTTAGTTTTACGCCGCACACAGCAATATTCCAGCTATATGACGGCGGTCTCTAAATAATAAAGTTTCTACCAGACAATCCAGTGATCAACCGCATGTGCATCGATCTACGTAAATGGGATACGAAGTCAGCGATACGTGACCACTCGATCCCGTTACTCGCCTCTTACGACAACCATGGGTTACCGTAGACAGATATTATTATTCTTACCGTGTTATCTGCCATCTCCATCTATTAGTTATTACTCAAGTTATTTCAATGTCGCAAGTATGTTAAGGAAAATAGACTGTAATTTTGGCTGATTCGGATTCAGTCTATTCCCTGTGTACAATAAGCTTCGTGGAACTGTTGTGTACCATTGTAGGCAGTGACACGGCTATAGGCGCAGGCAAAGTAATCATCAGGACTAATCTGCACGTCCGAGTCCAGTACGACGATACGGACCATCATACCAGGATCAGGCGCAGTCATTATCCACGTGCATGTTTCACCGCTACAATTAAGAGTGTAAAATGAATTATACTTGACGCTCCTTTGTACGTACTGCAGTTGTGTCACTTGTTCTCAAGCACGGATATGATGCAGACCGACAAAAAATAATCAAATATCAGGGTGATATTTGCATACATAATGACTAACATGTACGTGGGTCGATCAAAAAGTACGTAGACTAACTGTATTCTCGATGTCCAATGTTTGAAAAACTTCCATTTTATTTTGAAGGAATCTTTAGCAATGTCATATCCAAACTTTCACATATGTGGTTTATGTGGTTAACGAGATATTTGTCATCACAACACATTGGGGTATAATATTTCTAACAAAACTGCAGAAAATGAAAAACGATGTGTCATTTGGTATCTCTTGGATAATGGGATATCCTCAGAGTATATCATATAAAATATGTTCAGTATAGTATTCGGATGACTTCCCGTCATTATCAATTCACAGTCAAAGATTTGAATTGCTTAATATATTTAGTCGAGAGCTGTTTTTAAGGACATCCCTATCATGTATGAATAAATGAAAACATTAGAGTAAGTTATGTCCTTATGATTACGTCATCTGAAAGGGGGTGGGTAGTGCCTCCAAAACAAGCTCTTTCAGTCAACATGAAGAGGGGAGTCACTTGAACAAGCGAGTGTAATTTCAAATTGCTTTTTTATGAACTTTAATATCTAAGTGTGATTCTAGGGGACTTCTATCAATCTCAAACACACAAAATATATCTTGCATACTTTCTTTCTTGAAGTTTTTGATGCATTAATTGTAGAATTTGCGATTTTGTGGGTACCAACATAAAAGGTCAAACAAAATGGGGAACATCAGACTGGAACATAGCAGAACCAAATTGCTTGAGCTTGACAGATAATATGTAGAAAAATATAACAAAATAACTGCATTTGTATCGTTTTCTTGGTGACTCTACATACTTTTTGATCGCCCCTCTTTTGATTACAAACGAACGCACCTCGCATAGAACTGGAAGTACTGGTCCATGGAATGTAAACTTCAGGTAAGGAGGCAAACTTCATTTCATATGGATGGGCCTTGAAACCCGACAAAATAATTCTGGCAGTCCTGAGGGGGACGCAACTCTTAGAAGACATTTAAGGTTCCTCAGACTACAAGTTGTAAAAAATGTTCAACATGCTGCTTGAATGTTTCGCCCAAAGAATCTGTCTCATTAGTTCTAAACATGTATGACGTTATTAAGGTATATATGGAAGAATACAACACAAAATGAGTGATCTTTTAACACATACACACAGATCAAAGCGATTCGCTTTAATTTTTAGGTTAGTGGCATAACACGATTTTCTAACTTTGTTTTAAATTATATATGAGGGTGTACTTACTTGGGCGCGAACTTTGATAGTTCGGGGAATTTCAGGATTTTAGGGTGTGTAGTTGCATTAAGGAATCGTGGCCCACAAAATGGCGATTGAAAAGGTATCGCTGAAACATTATTGAAAATAAACTCTATATTATAACATATTGTTGCATTGAAAAGTCATAGAATGCATGCTAATCCAACTTCAATTCGACAACATTATACTAGAAGCATTGTTTGTTTGTTTGCTGTTTAACGCCGCACTCAGCAATGTCCCAGCTGTATGGCGGCGGTCTGTAAATCGAATCTGGACCAGACTATCTCAGTGATCAACAGAATGAGCATTGATCGATGCTGTTAGAAGTATTGATACTCTCAACGCTATGACAAGAAAAACAGTCTTAGAAATAATCGTTGAACATCAGAATAATATTAACCGTACCAACCTTTCTTTGTACTATGAGACACACGGAGCCGGAAGCCCGTTCCGCTGGTATCACTGCCGGTTTTGAATACCAGTTTCATATATATTCCATTAGAATAGTAGGGACCAACTGGGGATGTTGATGAATTTCCACAAAACCGTCCAATTTGCAACCATTGGTTTCCATCGATTCCTAAGGCCAAACAGATTCATGTAAAATGTACTAAAATGTTTTCATGGTTTGGCATTGTTAAGACAAATCATGAGAAGTCCTGAGACAATATACAAGGACAGTGAACACACACATATACACGTATCGAAAAAAACACTTATGCAAACTGAAAATACATCATAATTTGAGTACATTTATGGTAGGCCATGAGCAAGTTTTCGGTACCATTCAGAAGGACCAAACACTTTTATGTTTTTTGAAGTTGCTAGGGTCTCTAGATATCAAATGTATGATGGCCATGTCGGTTTGGTAGGCTAAATCCAAGATGGCCTTCAAAATACCCCAACATTTGAAAATAAAATGTCAATCCCAAGCTTTAATTCTGTGTAAAGTTTATCAAATAGGTTGGAAATGAAAATTGGGAGGTACAAATAGCGCTAACATGATTAAAAGAATTTAGTTAATATCAAATTGTTATTTGATACCCTTAAGTCATGTTTTTTCCTGATTTTTACGAGACGAAATTGTAAGTTCAAAGAACTCTTTCGAAAACTCTATTCTGAAGACAGCTCTTTAACTTCAAATAGTGAGAGCACCTTCAAGTTCCTTAAATTGGTTTGTGACAGTCACTGTTCCACAGTGTCGTCATCAGTGTCACTCTTTGGCATGTCATGGTCCTCGCATACCATGTTGTCAAAAGTCTGCTTCTGACATGTCACAGTGCATTTCAGTCCATTGGTAAGGCATTGGCAACTTGGCTGCTTACAGACTGTTGTGCACTTGCAAGAAATGAACTCAAGAACAGCATCTGGAGCAAGAGGTCCTGTCACCCAGCAATCGCCAAGTGATCATTTTGTTCCATAAATCCATGACCATCTGTTGCCCGTGAAGTTGTATATTCAGCTTCCAGACAGTTGTTCCATATTGCAGCTTAATATTTTGCTCTCAGGATGTGCATAGATAGACAATCAAAGCAGGGTGGCAATTGTCCTGATTCAATTGCCCCTTTTCCCACCTTATATAAGTATATCAACATAAGTTCAAGGGCAGTGAGAAACTGTATCGATTACTTTACAGACACGGATAATTTATGCCATCAAACATTGTATTGTAGGATTATGGTCATTTGTCTGAATAAACTGTCTCGGACCATCCATATACAAGACAGGGTCTGTTGCACGATTCCGACTATATCCTAAGCATGATTGTATTTGTAGTTATGTATGTCTATCGGTTGGTGGTGATATTATACTGTGATACCATTAACAGTGATGTGCATTATGTTGATACATTCACAACAGAATTGATAATTCGAGCCATATTTGATGCAACCAGTCCTAGTCTAGTAACGTCTTACGAGAGAGGGGGTGGGGTGGGGTGGGGAATCACCGCTACTTCAGATATCCAGGACAGCGATCAGCATTTGGTAATTAAAACTGTCTGCATAGAACTACAAATGTAAATGGTAGATTACAAAGACTAAAATGTGTTCAATAAATCTACGGTAGACAGTGCACAACGAGGACATGACGTACCATACAGGTCTAAAGAAGCATTTACACACTGCGGGTAGTCTCCCTCTACATCACCAGAGAGGATGTCGAGCCTCATGTTTGGTGGTTGCATCACGTCAACCACAGTTATGACGCAATCCAGGTTCCTGAAACAATACAGGTACAGGGCTGAGAATAAAAATAAGGAAAATGAGCTGTGGTGTCAAATGAAACAAATAACGAATAACAACTGATTTTTTTTTATCAAAATTAATGCACACGGACTAAATGTCCAATAGTACAGGTGTTCAGTCATAAACTTCAGATAGTTAAATAAAAACAGAATGCCTATTTCTCCAACATGTTTCGTTGTTTACTTTTCAGGGAGATTGTAGCAGCTATATAGCCAGTGTCAGTCTAGTTAAATTAATGGACAATATTATGTGCCCTGGTTTGATCCCATCTAATTGGATAATTGAAACTCTGTCCGCTTTTCATAATTTAATATCTGACAGAAAATCACTTTCTCGATTTTCCCATCGCAAGAGTTACCACAAGTAAACCCAACCCTGCAAATCTGCACCACACACACACACACACACACACACACACACACACACACACACACACACACACACACACACACACACACACACACACACACACATACACATATACGCACGCATGCATTTTGGATTATAATCTTACTGAAAGTACAAATCACTGGCTTTGCTTCAAATTACCTGCTATAGGAATCGGGGTATCCAGGCGACAGTATATAAGCAGGTGTGTTATAAATTAGGTACGTCCCACTGCAGTTTCTTTCTGAAACACGAAATATTGCCAATGCGTACATGTCACTGTATGCTTGGTACAACGGAGGAAGGGTCAGGGTTTCCCCTCATGATATTCATGATCAGGGGTGTATGATCTTTACCTATAAAACTTCCATCATAAAGGTACCTATTTGGCTGGGTACATGTGGAATACGTTGCACTATTCGGGTTATCGTTCATATATATTTAAAATATAGATATATTCTCAGAGAGGTAAAAGCATAACGTGATTGAGAGACATACAAACTCAGGCGTTTTCACTGTAAGCAATAAATAGAAGTTGTATAACAGAAGTTAAAACATTACCTGGTCTCGAAGAATATTGCAACTGGAAACCCCTGCTGGTCACATTCTCATTGGTTGATAACTCTATCAACAGCGAATTCTTTGAACTGTAGTACTTGGGCGTCTGGGTTGAACGGAATGTCCCAAGAAGCTGGCCAGCTGAAGTATAACGTGTATACCTATGCATATTCACTAAATGTTGATGTTGATGCACCAAATTACATATTTTCACGAATCTAAACAATCACAAGCGACAACAAACGCTTATGCTGATTTTAAATTTGCTCAATTGATAGCACGTGTTTAGCAGAGATACCCTTTGCATATGGGATGAGTTTTGGTGCTTTTTATAATATGTTCATGATCACGTTTGCCCACATCACATATTGTTAACGTATACACAAATAGGTTTTCCTGAGATCTGAACCTTTGCTTCTTTTTGTGCTTGGTAGAGCAAGTATTTTCTGTTTGTGTGCTTTATGTTGTACTGGCAATAACTGACGAACAATCGATTAAATTATTAATATCCGTAGGGACCTTCACGCTTCTTGGCATTCCATTTAAAGATACAAGCAGCCATGCGGTCGTTCCTTGTGTGAAAATATCACGTTTCATCTATGTAATAAAGTAAATAATGTTTTCCTAGATAGATCCGCACACAACAGGTGTTCTTTCGATATTATTTATAAGACACCGCAAATGGATCCTAGCATAATTCTCCCATAGCAGTAACAAGATACTGGCTTTAAGCTGCCATCTTAATGTTTGGGGGTAGCAAACAAGCCACGAATGCATGAATGTTTATGTTGTAATCAAATGTGTTTTCATTTTCAGAATCTTAGAACTACCACTCACGATATAAAGATATATATCCTGTACTAGGATCATACACCCGCATTGGGACATTACCTTCAGCTTTGTCTCCGTTATAGACACGAATGGCATCATCTGTGTACGTTGTTGGAGAATCTTCCGATCGGTATTGACGTGGGAAGGCAGTTATCACGTCAACGTAAATAGTATGGTTTTCGTTTTCAGCAGTTATAATCCAAGTGCAGTTGACATTTCTGAGAAAGAACTGTAAGATTAACACATACAGTTAACGGGTAACATTAATGTATTCAAATATATACATGGAAAGAGTATCGCAATACCTATGATTTTAACCCCATATAGTCATTTATATCTAGATCATGTTACAATGATATTTGTGTCTGAAACGAAAATGGTAGATTGTCTTTTGCGGGGGAAAATAATTCACTGATCGCTTGACTCTGTGGCCACGTACCAAATATCACATGCATAACAATGTAAATGATATGGCATGGTGTCATCGCCATGTAACGTGACAATGTGCACGCGAAAGAAGGTAATATAATAATCTTAATATCATTATCAGTGAGACATTTACCCTTACAAACATCTTTTTCAACGACATCGTTTAGAAAGAAGATTATTATGGTAAGGAGTTAAGGACATGATCACGGGTGTCAAGGTTTGTAAAATGTAATCACTTTATAACTGTGTACTAAGTTATTAAATGATGATAGTAAGTCACATAAATTCACCTTCCAAAAATATATCCAAATATGTACATAACCGTAAAACAATGACTTACTTCAATCAATCAATCTTTATTCAGTACTTAAAAAGGCCACAGGCCTGTAGTACATTTCAAGTTTACATGAAGTCAAAATTACAAATTCTTTTCTATATCAATCCTTTTTCTTGAACTCATAGTGAAAGAGACGTAGATTGCTAGATTCTGTAATTATAATGTCATAGTATCTGTTCACAATGAAATTAATTTTCTTATGATAGTATGGCTTTAGGTATTTCGTTCGTAGAGTCTTAAAAACAGCACAGATTAGGAGGAAATGTAATTCATCCTCATCTGTATTCATATTACATAATTGACACACTGGTGAGTTATTATTTAACGTCACATCGGCAATATTTCAGCCATATCGTGACGAGAACATTTGATATTGAAAAGAATATATATATATAGACATTATAAAACCTGCCGACGAAGGACAGTAAAGCAACTAGAGTATCACAGATATATATGTAAAACTAGTAATTGAATCTAAAACATAGTAACTATAGGGGACAACACAATATATAAATGGGCTATAGATCGCCAACAACTGAAGGTAGATCACCATACTAGGGACCATGGGGACTTACATTACTTTTGCTACCTGCATGGACCCTAGCTGGATTTATATCATCCCCTCAGCCGTTAACAATTAAGACATATCTAGCCATACATTAAAATTACAAATATTCTACGATTAAAAAACGGAAAGTTGAAATTTACTTTGAATGTTTTGGGACTTACGTACCCTCTCAGGAGGACAATAATTTTACAGTACTTTAACCCCCCTCGAGGATACAGCCACTAACAATCTATGTTACTAATTCAGACTTCCAATCATAAAATATTTAGCTATTTACAAATCTGTTAACAAAGTTAATTCTTTTAAAAAGGCAATAATTAAATGATGACTTATATTAGTAAAAAGATCCTTCATAGTTTTGGGATTTGAAATAGATATCCCTTGTGATGGAGTACTCAACACAGTCAAGCAAGACATGCTTGACCGTGATTCGTTCATCACAAGGGATACAAAACGGAGGATCCTCACCTTTTAATAGGTACTCATGCGTATATCTAGTGTGGCCAATACGACATCGTCGCATAATGACCTCTTCAAATCTGGACTGACAACCCAAGTAAGTGTAACCGATATAGGGTTTTATTGCATGTAATTTATTGATACCCACTTGGCTGTCCCACTTCTTTTTGCATCAGATCACGGATATAAGATCTTATAGCAGCTTTGTAATCAGAGTATGGGATCAGAAGTGGTGTCACAGATTTGTTGAGTGCTGCCTTAGCAGCAAGATCAGCCATTGTGTTCCCAGAAATGCCAACGTGGCTGGGTAACCAACAAAAGACGATGTCGCATTGGCCAGTAGCAAGTTCATTGTACAATTCAATAATTTCTAATAAAAGTGGATGTTTGCAAGAAAGATTTTTAATAGCCTGAAGACACGAAAGAGAATCTGAAAAGATGATGTATTGTTTATATTTACGGTGTTTATTAATATATTTAAGAGCTGTTAGTATTGCGTTTGCTTCTGCTGTGAAAATTGAACTGTCATTGGGTAGTCTGAAGATATTGTTTTGGACCCAATGACAGTGGCACAAGCAACCGCGCCACCATCCTTGGATCCATCTGTATATACGGATTTATAGGTATTATATTTATTTCTTAATTGACTAAATTCTTGTTTATACTGTAGATCATTAGTTTCTGATTTTTTAAATGTGGTTAATGTTAAGTCAACTTCTGGCCTCACCAATTGCCAAGGAGGAGAAGAAAGAAGACGGGAAGGAGATATATTGTCCAGCTCAATGCCGACAGCAGAAATATATTGTTGGATTCTTATCCCAAGAGGTGGAACAAGTGAAGGTCTTTTATTATACAAATCCTCATAAAGAGGATTAAAAACGCAAGTGTGAGCAGGATTGGATTCATTAGAATATAACTTTGTGATATATTGTAGGGACAATTTGATACGGCGAAGTTTTAAAGATGGCTCATCGGCCTCAACGTAGAGACTGTCAATGGGAGAGGTTCTGAAAGACCCAAGACAAAGTCTTAGACCCTGGTGATGGATAGAATCAAGTAGTTTGAGGTTGCTTTTACAGGCCCCACCATATACGATAGAGGCGTAATCAAGCTTCGAGCGGACCAGTGATCTGTAAAGGTGTAGGAGCGTAGCTTGATCCCCTCCCCACCTTGAATTAGACACGACTTTCAATAAATCGAGTGCCTTCAGGCATTTAGTTTTAAGAGATTTGATATGCGGAAGAAAAGTTAAATGGGAGTCGAAAATGAGACCTAAGAACTTGGCCTCCTTTACAACCTTGATGGGAGTGCCATTTAAATTTAGTTCTGGGTCCTTATGTGGCTTATATTTTCGACAGAAGTGTATACAATTAGTTTTTGATTTAGAAAATTTAAAGCCGTTTTCAAGACACCATTTATGTATTTTATTTAAACACAATTGCAGTTGCCGTTCAATAGTATGCATATTTTTACCACGACAAGAAATATTAAAATCATCCACAAACAGCGACCCATCGATTGAATTATTTAAAACCTTGGACAAACTATTTATCTTTATGCTAAAAAGTGTTACAGACAAAATACTGCCTTGTGGGACACCCTGATCCTGATTGTAATGATCAGACAGGGTAGAACCCACGCGGACTTGAAATTGCCTGTCAGTTAAAAACTTGGATATGAATTGAGGCAAACGGCCTCGCAAACCCAAATCGTGTAAATCTCTTAAAATCCCATGTTTCCAAGTAGTGTCATATGCTTTTTCTAAATCGAAAAAGATCGACACTGCATGTTGTTTTGAATAATGGCATTTTTAACAAAGGATTCTAAACGCACTAAATGATCGATCGTACTTCTATTTTTACGGAAACCACACTGGATATCTGTTATAAGGTTATTGGTTTCCAAGTACCAAACAAGTCGATTATTTATCATGCGTTCCATGGTCTTGCAAACACAGCTTGTTAGTGAAATCGGTCGATAATTCGAAGGATCAGTATGGTCACGTCCAGGTTTAGGGACGGGAACAATAATAGCATCCCGCCAAGAAGCAGGAAATTTTCCAGATGTCCAAATAATATCAAAAATGGTTAAGAGGGTCTCTAAACATGATTCTGGTAGGTGTTTTAGAAGCTGATAATGTATGTTATCAGCCCCTGCAGCAGTATCATGAGCCTGGTCAAGAGCAGTACGAAGCTCATGAATAGAAAATAGTTCATTGTAATCTTCCCCATTATCTGAATTGAAATTAACAGGTTTCTTTTCCTGTTGATTTTATAATTTTGGAATTGAGGTAAATAATTCGATGAGGAAGAGTGTTTGGCCAAAGTTTCTCCAAGTTTATTCGCAATATCAGATTTACTAGTTAATAATTCGTCTCCATCTTTCAGATGCTTAATGCTAGATTTAGAACCCTTACCTTTTATTTTCTGGATCATATTCCATACTTTTGATATCGGCGTTCGTGAATTTATTTTTGATACATAATTTCGCCAGGATTGACGTTTATGTTGCTTGAAGGTACGCCGTGCCTTAGCATTTAACATTTTAAATTTATTCAAATTATGGACCATAGGATGGCGACGGAAATAATTCTCAGCTTTCTTCCGTGCTGTCCTAGCCTGTTTGCATTCAGCGTTAAACCATGGTTTTCGGATGTGTGGAATTGCAGAGGATTTGGGTATACACTCATCAGCTACTTTATTGAGTTCATCAGAGAAATTTTTATTGCATCAGGAACATCTATAAACAGTGCAGGTTGAAGTCTGTTACAACAGAGAGTTTGATATAAATTCCAGTTAGCTTTTTTAAAGTTCCATCTAGAGGATGGGGTATTATCAGATGGGTTCACAGGCTTTAATATTGTTGGGAAATGGTCACTTCCACAAAGATCATTGTGGACTGACCATTCAAATTCATTCAATAGGTCTGGGTCTGTAATTGATAGATCTAGAGCTGAATAAGTTCCCGTGCCAGGATGTAAATAGGTGTTGGAACCGTCATTATATATGCATAAATCATTATCTGAACAGAACTCTTCCAATAGTTTACCTTTAGCATTAGTATTTGTACCACCCCAGAGTGGGTTGTGGCCATTTAAATCTCCCATAATAATACAGGGTTGTGGGAGTTGGTCATATAGATTTTGAAGTTCACTCTTCTGAAGAGCTGAAGACGGTGAGATATACAAAGAGCATAATGTGAGCGTAACATGAAAAGTGAGTCGAACGGCAACAGCCTGTAGACCAGTAGTAAGTGAAACAGGGCTATGGATAATATTCTGCCTGATGAGGATGGAAGATCCGCCAGTGGCCCTGTCACCCGGAGGTGAAAAATAATGATACGCATTGAAATGGCGTAAGTCAAAAGTGTCCGTCTGTTTTAAATATGTCTCCTGCAGACAGATTGCTGATGGTGTATAA